TGCTATCCAAACAGTAGAAGGGGATATCGCATGGTTTAAAATCAGGAAGGGAGTGTGTCAGGGTTGTCTTCTTTCACCATACTTATTCAATCTGTATGCTGAGCAAATAATCTGAGAAGCTGGACTATATGAAGCATCAGGATTGGAAGTAGACATTAACAACCTGAGATATGCAGATGACACAACTTTGCTCGCTGAAAGTGAGGATGACCTGAAGCACTTACTGGTGAAGATTAAAGACTACAATCTGCAGTATGGATTACATCTCAACATAAAGAAAATGAAAATCCTAACCACTGGACCAGTAAGCAGCATTACTATAAATGGAGAAAAGACTGAAGTTGTCAAAGATTTCTTATTCCTTGGTTCCACAATCCACACCAACGGAAGCAGCAGTCAAGACATCAGATGACATACTGCTCTCAGCAAACTGGCTACAAAAGACTTCTTTCAAGTGATGAAGAGCAGATACCTCCTTAAAGACTTAAATGAGCCTAATCCAAGCCATGGTATTTTCAATCACCTCTTATGCATGTGAGAGCTGGACAATGAACAGGAAAGACGGAAGAGATGACGCTTTTGAGTTGTGGTATTGGCGAAGAATGCTGAAAACTACCATGGACTGCCAAAAGAACTAACAGGTCTGTCCTAGAAGAAGTGCAGGCGTAATGCTCCTTGGAAGTGAGAAAGGCCAGACTTTGTCTCACCTACTTTGGTCATGTTGTCAGAGGGACCATTCCTTGGTGAAGGCTATCATGCTTGGTAAGGTGGAGGGTCAGTGAAAAAAGGGGAAAGCCCTCACCAAGATGGACTGACACAGTGGCTGGGATGATGGGCTCATATACAGCAAGGATTGGGAGGCTGGCACAGGACCTGGCAGTGTTTCATTCTGTTGAACACAGGGTCACTATGGGTCACAGCCAACTCGACAGCACGTTAACTTAACCACCACAAACCCACCATTCTGCAACCCCTCACTCCACTTTATCTTTCTTCACAGACTTTATTACTAGTTTGTGTTTCTGTTTACTGTCAGTCATCTAATCCCTCCCCCAGCACAAAAAGAACTGAAGCTCCCCAGCTAGAAGAACTCTGTCCATCAGCTTTGTCTCCCTAATGGATGGTAAACCGTGTCGCCTGCAGTAAGCACACAATAAACACTTGTGGAACAAACTAGAAAGGCTCAGGGGTAATGAAAAGCTTGCCATTTCAAGAAATCCAAGTAAATACAGAACAACCAATATGTAGGGGGTGGGAAAGGTGCATGCGTGCGTGGGTGTGTACCTCGAGGAAAAGTGGAACTTGAATCTTCAAAGGTAAGTTGTAACAAATCACAAAGGAACTCGTAGGCCATGTTAAGGAATTTTGTATTTTCTGCGTCAGAGGGAATCAGTTGAACAAGGTTTCAAAGCAGGAATGTTATGAGCAGCCTGGGGTGTGAAGATGGGTTTGAGGGCCCAAAGACTACAGGCAGGGAGACCAGGTGTGAGGCTGAGATGGATAACCATGAGGGATTGGAAACAAGTGGAGGAAGTGAGAGGCTCTGAAAGATACTGTAAGTAAACTTCAGAGAATTTGAGGTTTCTTTGGACAGTGACCAAACCTCAAATACAAAACAGAATACTGATGAGCCCAGAAAGGCACAACCAACAATTCCACCCCCAAGAGGCCCATACCTCCGTGACCTCCTGTGGGAAGTAAGCATCTGCCACAGGACTGCTCAACACACAGGCCTCTGGGCTCCCAATTCTCCAGGTAAAGACTGAAACGTGGAAACCCAGAGAGTCTAAGCTGTTTCCATGTTATAACAAGGCTATATGGGAAGACCCTATACGCAGCGCTCTGAAAGGACATTCCAAGGTTAAACCACACATAAATACAAATACGAAACGTGTTCTCTTTCCTACCCTGGCCTGTGACACTCTTCAGTTAAATTCTATTGAGTCAGGCAGTGGTTCCTCTCTGTGATACTCAATTCCATCCAAGGGCTACCTAAACAACACATTTCAAAATGATTGCTGGGCTCGACGTCACGTGAACAGTAAAAAAAACAAACATAAAAATCATAACTAGCCAAACTCACTCATGGATGAATTCTGATCAGAAGGTCAACATTAGTCAATATTTTCAACCCCAAAATATTTGGTTTTGGAAATATTTAAACAATGCCATTAGATTTTTTTATGAGGGCCAGATAACTCTGCCTAGAAACAGTGACAATATTTGGCAAGGAACTATTTCCTCATCTTTCTCTTTTTTAAACTGTTGAATTAATGGCTCCTTTTAGAATCAGCATTAGGAAAGAATGACACACATACTGTACAACTGCACCTGCAGCAGACTTTCATGGTGCAATTACAAGCCGGGCAAAGGTTCTCCAAAGCTCACTTCTCCACCACCTCCTGACCAGCCAAAGTGACCTAACTCAGGAAGTGGTCAGGTGACCCTCGAGACCAAGGACAACCTTCAATAAAAACGATACCCCAGAGACACTGGCAATTTTAAATACCAGGAGTGGACAGTCTTACTAGACGACATACAGTAAGAGATGTGAAACGTCCATGATATAACGCTCAAATTCCACTTCAGTAGTTTAAATAAAAAAAAAAGGGGGATGGTGGGTGGAGAAAGGCTTACTCATACCTCCCCCACCATTTGTTAGCATAAATATCACTTTGTATAAAAGCCCAAATCAAACATTTCCCTCCTGACCAAGCGTACCTCTATAGGTAGGAACAGCCAACACAGAGTGTTGGAAGTGTACTTCTATAGGTAGGAACAGCCAACATGGAAACATCTCAACAACACAACTTGTGCTTCTTTTTTCATCCTGGTACTATCACCCAAAAAATGCATAATCATGTTCAGCCTAATTAAATTTCCTAATAAAATCCCATATTACAAAAGTCATATTTAATTAAATGGACAGGAATAAAAAATTACTGCAAGGTTAAATCACTGTACGCAACTCCTATCAAAGTATTTTTATTTTACAATTTGTAATTCTAATCAAGTTGTATTACTTTTTGAATGGTCATTTCAAGAATAATTTAGAGTTATTGTTACCTGTTTAATAATAATAATAAAAATATTTCCATAGGAGATAGATACATAGTATCAAAAGTGGTATTTTCTTTTCAAACATAAATTGCGTGAATTTTTTAGAAGTCTGTCCATTTTTAATGTACTAATACTTTCCACCATTTAAAAAAATAGAGTGTCAGAAGTAACTCACTCCAACTTTCTCACTTTGTGAAAGAGGGAAACAGACACAAACAAGTTACTGGATTTTCTGAAAGATACACAGCTAGCTAGTTGGCATCTGAGCTAGCCAGCTGTATCAGAGAAGTTAGCTAGCATAGAAGCTGCTTAGTATCATAGCCAGCTAATCGGTATCAGAGAAGCTAGTTAAATGACAGAAGCTAGCTAGGATCATAGAAGCTAGCTAGATTCACAGAAGCTAGTTGGGATCAGGGAAGCTAGCTAGTATCATAGTCAGCTAGTTAGTATTACAGCTTCTAGTTCAATGCTCTTTCCCAGGTTAACACCTTTAAGGACTAAAGTCGTTCACAGAACGAGTAGAACAGTCCAGAAGATCACTGAGAGTGCTGCTGGTCATTACACACAGCTCTTTGCTGTCTCAGGTGAACTCACTTGCCCTGTTCCGTACGAGCTGAGTACTTCTGGTTTTGTTATCTCTCTCTGAGCACAGGACTAGCAGCCCAACATGCTGAGAAAAGTCCCCCTTTCTACACTTTTTCAATAGAGCACAATTATTAAGGGAATGGGGGAGAGAAATTACATGGCTTAATAGCGCACAAATACAGATTTGAGTTTCTGTTTAAACATTAAACATTGAACAGAATTTACATGAAACTCTTCTTCCAAGGAGTTAATTTTGTCCAGTAAAGAAGACATGTTTACAACTCTGTGAGGTTATTTGGAGGACAGACTTTCTGGGGGACGGAAGAACAGCAGACCCCACACTTCATGTAAATGTCAGGACTTTCCGTTAGAATACAAAGGACTGCCCTAGATTTCTCTAGAGCTGGTTAGGAGCCACAGTTTAGGGACTCAGATAACCATTTATTAAAAATAATCATTTATCTTTCATTTCCCATTGAAAAGAGTCACAGTCTGGGAAGAGCTGAATCATCACTTCTAGATCTCTCTAGACAGTAAAATGGGGGTGATCGGGAAAGAGACAAGAGGAGGGAGGAGGGAGGGGAGAGGGGAGCAGTGGGACACTGAGAATCCAAAGGTGTCTGGGAGACTTTCTAATGAAGGGTCTTCCAAGTTACTTGCAGTGCCTTATCTAAGATCCTGAACATGAGCTTCAGTAGCTCTTATTACCTTAAAAATAACAGTAAATGAGTCAAAGTGAGACAAGTGCTCAGAATTGGGTACTTGGTACATTAGTAAAAGTTAGCTTTTATTTTTATTAAAAGAACATTTTATCCTATCAGAAAAGTTCACTCTGGGGCATTTCTCTCTTTGTAGGCTTGGGATGTGCCAGTAGAGTGACGGGCATACATATGCCGGCCAGAGAACATCTTCCTACCAACATATCAGGTGTGGAGATGGATGGACATTCAGTACTTGCTTACAAGGAGGAATGACTCCCCCCCCCCCCCAAAAAAAAGCAGCATATTTCAGCACACACTAATACAGATGTACTTACCCTTCTCCCCTGTAATGACGGAGTGGCCCAGTGGTGTATTACTGCTTCTGAAGAGCGGCCATTACTCGAGTGTGCTCCCCACACAATGTGTCTTTCACAGAAACCCTCAGTCTTTCTCAGCTAAGGGTCTGACCAGTGTCTGGGCTTTTCTATACACTACACTAAATGCGTTACAAGTTACTTATGTTATTTTGTCTTCAAACAAAATTCCTAACAAATTACAATCTACTTTTTAATCAGCAGAAATAATATAGTAATTTTAAATTCAACTGAAAAAGGGGGCCAGGGCCAAATCTCAGACCTGGAAATCAGTACTTACTGCAGGCACCAGTAACTTCTTCACTTCTTCGACTGCTCTCTTGAGCTTGATCTCTGCTCTGTTCTGCGCGTCCTCCACGGTGATGAGCACATGCAAGTCTTCGTTCAGATGCTCCCAGTTGGGCTTGCCTCTATTTTGCTCCTCCTAAAGAAACCACAGAGAACTTACTACAGGTGACTGGCCTCCAAGAGAGGCTGCAACAATCCTACACTAACTTGTTGACAATTCTTTAAGCTATGTTTGCATTATTTTGCTGTGATGACAATATAAACCTTTTGAATTATTTTTCTGGCAGAAAGTCTAGCTGTGAGATTACTGGGTCCAATGATATTTAATTCAAAAAATATCTGTTAAGCATCTACTACTGTGGTAGTTAAATTTGTATGTCAAGTTGGCTGGGCCTGGTTGAGTGGCTGGGCAGCTCAGCTGGTGGTAGTTATTCCCCATGACTAGACTGGCAAATCAACTCCATGGTGGGATCTACAACAAGCAGCTGAGTAGCTGCCTTTGGGTATGTGGTCTGCTTCCTGTATATAAGAAGAAGCCTTGGGAATGGTCTCTAGTGTATAGCACGCTTGGACCCTGCATGTAACCATGTTTTTGCTCAGTACCCTGTCATGCTTTGCCGACCTTGGAACTTACAATGGACCTAAGTTAATGGCCTGCCGTGTGGTTTGTTAACATCGGGACTGTGCCATTGTATTTGTCAATCGCGGGCCTGTCAGCCTCAGCAGCCAGCAGCTGCCTGAGTGAAGAGATGCCTCTAGCTTCAGTGGCCCAGGAGCAAGAGACACAGCTGAAGCCCAAGGCTGAGGTGCTTTCACACAGCCCCTAGAACCTGGCACTTTGAACTCGGACTTAAAGCCTCCCAATTGTGAGAGAATAAACTCCTGTTTGTTCAGCCATCCCCATTTGTGGTATATTCTTGTCAGAGTGGCACTAGGTAACCAGAACAACTACTACGTACTAGGCACAGAACTAGAACTAAGACATGCCAATGAGCAAGACCATCCCAAGCAACAGTCCTGTGACGTGCCAGGGAACGTATGCACCGAGCATCCTTCAGTTATCACAGACACACTCTGAGAAGCGTGCTGCCATCTGTCCTTTGGGGAGTCAACAAAGGTTCACCAGGGTTAAGTGGGTCACTTGTCAAGATCACAGGCAATAAGCTGCTAACTGAAGAGCTGAACACAAGTGTTCATTCTCAAGCTCAGGGACCCCTTCACTCTGCCGTAACTGCTCTCAGTGCAGCAGTTGTCGACCAGATTACAAACAGTACACAGGAATTACTGTGCAAGAGAAATGCCACGTGGAGTAAGCATCTCAAATAGTAATTCCGGAAAGAACAAACCCTAAAGGTAGGAGTGGTCATGGGTGCATCTCCAGCAGGCCCTCCCTCTCCACAGACACCAACACCAAGGCCAGTCTTGAATTAGAGAGAGTCATAAACATGAGTCCGACGGAGACTATCTGCTTCATTTCCAAGATGTCCTGCCATCACCTCAGAAGGGACATCCTCTAGCTGGAAACCTTGTCAAGTCCAAGACAGGGAGCTCCAGAAGCACACCAAGCCACGCTTCTGTCCGCCCGGGTCTACCCTTTGCTCTCGTCTTAAGTTCTACCTATATCAATGCACCAGGCTTGGAACCAGGTGAGAAAAGGAATGGTAACAGGAGCAGCTGCTGGACCACCACCTTACAAGCCACTGTTTACCAAAGTGTGAGGTTCCAGTCAGGGAAAATCAGGCTGGTGCAGCGGGCCAGGAGTGCAGGTGCGCTAGCAGCTCCGCGTGCGCTTCACCCGTCTGCAGAGGCTGTGCTACGGAACAGCTGTGATGCTGCACCGGGGCAGTCCAGGCTTCCCCTACCGCCCACTGGCACTGGCAGTGTAAGATGTGTCCATGAGTTTTAAGGGGAAACGGAAATTTTCAGAGAGTACTTCCCACAATCCTATTGCAGGCTGTCTGTGGGAGTCGCCAAAAGAAGTGACAGTAAGCAGGGTGAACTCACAGGGGCTGGGGGACTACTTCAGTTTCCAGGAAGTACAGCAGTAGTCTCTGTCGTTTAGACACCATGCACACAACCAGCTCGAGATAGTCGCCTACGAGTTCAACATGAACCAAGTGCTGCCAAGTCAATTCCGACTCATGACGACCTCTGGAGATTTTCACGGGCTGTTTTGGAAGCAGGATGCTAGGCCTTTCTTCCAAGGTACTTCTGGGTGGACTGGCGCCTCCACGCATTGGTCAGCAGCCAAGCACACTAACCATTCACACCGCCCAGGGTTCCAGTCCGTCAGTGTAGGCAAAAATTAGTGTGAACAGGCATAAGGGTGGGTGCCAGTGATCTCATGAATAAACAGGTGTGGTTACTAAAGATTCCAGTTAAAATATTTTTTCCTTCAATTTATGTGTGCCTTCAATAAAATAAAAGCTGTTATAATATAAATACTAATTAAAGTGTTTGGAAACCCAAGCGACTCATAAAGAGCGTCTACGACAGAACTGACCTGTCTGTCCCACAAGGTTTCCAAGGCTGTAAATCTTTATTTAAGTAAGCAGACTGACTCATCTTTTTCTCATAGAGTGGCTGGTGTGTTTGAACCTACGACTTTTTCTTAGGTTAGCAGCCCAGTGTTTTAACCACGGTGCCGCCAGAGCACCTACTGAATACATGGTACCGTTAGGTATTTCTTCTAGCACAGGGGCCCAAGAAAAACAGAATATAAGGAAGTACAGGTTAGTTATCTTTATGTCAAGTAATTAAAAAAATGGACCCATAGCTCTGCTGTGGCAAGAAAAATGAAGGTTTTTATTTTTTATGTTGAAAAATGTTGCCAATATTTCCCCCCCAAAGTTTGTATTTTGACTCATTCATGAATTGGTCTATTTGTACACAGGCATAATAAACGTACTTGTATTATGAGGCGAACCTAAAGAGTATCTGTGTACAGACATGTCAGGGATTTCTGCTCCTGGCCAAGATGAACAGCAGGTACCAGAGCTACCCTCCCTCCTGAAACTGCCAGGAAACAATCAACATATATGAAATACCAGTCTTCATGACACGGGGCAAAAGGCCGCCAAGGACAGTGATCCCTGGGGCGCAAGAAACCAAGGAGATGAGCACTGTAATCTGTGCTGGGCGGCTCCTCGGCGTGAGTGTTGCCAGGACAAGGCCCAGAGAGGGCCCCCGGCGGGACCTGGCTTCTCCCGAGTCCAGGGAGGCTGATGGCCTTGCTCTCTGGAGAGCTGCCGAGGGGCCTCCTGTCCTCAGCTGATGCCTGGGAGCCTGGGACTCAGGGACAGGTATATCTCATGCTCCCAGGTAACACTGAGAAGTCTTGCCTCAGTCACGGGCATAATTAAGGCTGGACTCACTCCTGTGACAGAAATGCCCCATCAAATAAATTAATAAAAGATCTAAAAGAGCAAACTGTTTACACTTAACTGTGTCTCAGAACAAGGTTCAAGAACACAAATATCCAACCCAACAAGTAAAATTCACACCCCGAGAACCCAGTAGAAGTTACAGGCACACAAAGCAGCAAGTGGCCGGAAACTAGGACACACATGGAAAGGAAAACCAATCACGTGACACCACAGAAGGCTGAGAACCAATACCAATGCCAGAGTCCGCAGAGCCGTTCGAGCTATGGTGAGTGTGCACGTGTGTCTGTGGTGAGTGTGTGGCACACTGATGCACAGACACTCACGGGCAGGCAATCTAACAGGCACTCCTCATCGGAAGGAGTTTAGAGAGGACTCGGAATAGGCTAAAGTGAAGTCAGAGGTGACCTGCCACAGACGCTTTCCTACAGGAGAGACGAGGTCCAGGAACGGCGAAGAGGGGAACCGTTTTTACAGCAGAGAACAAAGGGGTCCCGTAATCGGTTCCAGGGCTTAGGGAAGAAAGACAATGTTTAATCTTCATTCATTCAACCACAAATGCCAGATACAACAAAGAAAACCACACTGATGCTAATGACTGCTTCAAAATCAACAGCTTTGCTTAGACTTTGGAAAAACTGTTGAAGAAATAAGAATTTCTGAACAAACAGTGAAATCAATGCCATCATGAGCTTCAACTCAATCTCAAAATTCTTCTAGAACAATCTAGAGCTTAAAATGGATAAATTCATAAGAAAGAAGAAAATGTGAAAGGAAACAGAAAAGTTAGAAAACTGGAAAGCAGATCGCTTAGTGGTAAATGATTTAGCAAAATCACGAGTTCACTGAGCAGCACGGGAAGGTGGGAAGGGACCCATCTACAACCGCAGCGGTCTGACTGGCTGAGGAAGCTGGACGCACCACAGGTGGGGCAGGGGTGAGGCAAAGGCTGGAGAGCCAGCTGAAGTCTTGTTAAGCAGCAGCTGAATCTCCACATCCCTTCTCCCCTAATACCTGGGTCGCTCCCCTGGTCCCACCAAAAGACCAGAAATTTATTCCCTAAATAAAGTGAACACTTTCTGAAATTGGGTTTATGAGGGACAGTTGAAGGCAGGGGCGTATAGGGTGGGGAACCATTTACACAGAAGGCTGAGACCTCCAACCTTCCCACCCTCCATTCCCAGGGAGGGCAGCCAGGCCTACCGATGGAGGTAGGAGAGAGAAGACCCTTGTCTGGGAGTCTGACCAGCTCGACAAACTAACCAACCAAAAAAAACCAACTGAAGACAGCAACCAACAAGCAGAGAGAAGAAAAATTCAAAATTCCTCAGAGAGTTGAGAGAAGACAGTGCATCCCAGAAACAAGTAAACAATCCCATTACAAAATAACACAGAACACAAAAAGGAGACTCGAAATCGCAAACTACAGCAGAAATTAAAACAGTTGAAAGGTTAGTACACTGATCAAGACTCAGGAATTCTCCAAGAGGGAAGAGCAAGACAGATGAACAAGGGCAGAGAATAATGACAGACTTCAGAGGACTAAGCGAGGAGGGTCGGCAACCAAGAAACCCATGTTCCACAAAGAAACATCCAGAGAAATGATGGCAGAGGAAACATCAACATCGTACGCGTTATCCAAACTGAAGGACTCCAGATGAAACAGGGCCACTGAGCACTAACCACGACAAACAAAGGAAAACAAAAAATCAACTCAGAGCAATGTAAGTGCACACCTTTGTAACAAAGAGAA